CTGTGAAGGAAAAAACAGTTAACATTTCGGGTCCAGGTTCTGAGGAAGAGTCACCGGACCCAAAACATTAACTCTGTTTTTTCCTTCACAGATGCTGCCAGACCTGCTGAGCTTTTCCAGCAACTTAGTTTTTGTTCCTTGTATTATTTGCCATTGCTGTTCTAACTCTGACTTCACAGCAATAACTAACTTCTCACGAGATTTTCCTTGGTACTTAAATTATGCACTGGACTGCCACCTTTGATTCTCTAATGAGATTAATCAGACATTAGGAGATATGACCAAAAGTTTGGTGAAATAAGTAGATTTTCCAGTCATTTAAAAGGGGGCAGAGAAGTTGAAGAGGGAATTCTAGATATTGGAGCACGGGAACCGAAAGCACTGGGTTCCACTATTACTCCACTAATAGTAGAGTAATTAAAATTTTAGAGACCAGAATTGGAGTAAGAAGCCTCTGAAGGTAGTGAAACTGCAGGACTGCAAAAGTAGGGGTGAGACCACAGCAGGATTTGAAAGTAAGTTTGAAATTTTAGATAATCCTTAAAGTGTATGAATAACCCTTTGGTGTATCGTTTAACCTGACACACACTGTTGTTGTCCCTGACTCAACCCATGGCTTCTCACCTCCAGACCTGACTATTCATACTTCTTGCAATCTTCAATTTCTCTTTGCAGCCATATATTGGCCCCTCGTCGCTGAACCCCAGAATTCTCTTCATGTAGGCATTGGAGATTCTAATAGCCCCCACCTCCCAGAGTTTGTGGCTGTCCCTGGAGTACACACTGTAAACTCCTTCAAACTAACTTTCTTAAGATGCACCAGTTTGTCGCTTGTCCGGCTAGCTTGAATTTACTTGTAAGAGTCCACGATGCCTGGCATTGTTAGTGAAGGAGAAATAGTTATTGTTGAAGGATAAATATACATTGAATTTGGCAGTGGTAAGGTGACTGGGGAGGCTCAAGTAAACGTGAGTTGTTGGAGATAGGGAGATCAATCTTGAATTGGTTGATTCAGATAGAAAGAATGTTATTAATTGTGTATCACTGTGAATAGCTTTATGAATTGGATTGTACTGTTATTGGCTTTGTGAAGTTGTTATCTTTCCATGAGTGTCAAAACATGGGTGAATTTGATTCATGAATGCAAAAGAATCTCAACACAGGCGTTTATTTCTACTGTTTAATGTTATGACACTGCTATGATGTGATCTATGATTCTGGTGTGAAATTGAACTCTAAAGTTGAGATAATAAAAACTACTACAGAGGTTAGCGAGAGATCACAGATTTAAGACACTTTATAGAAGTGTTGGAGCTGACATGAGGTAAAGCTAGCTACTTTACCAAAAGCATGTTGAGGTTTGGAATCTGCTGGTTGCCAACAGGTTTGGTAGTGAATTTCACAGGGAATTGGATAAACACTCATTTGATAAAAATTGCAGGGTTATGAGGAAAGCAAGAGTGCAATGGGCTCAACTGTGTTTCTCATCAGCAGAAACAGCACAGACTGGGCTGAATGGCTTCTGTGCTGTGTTGTGGCCTTGATTCTGAAAGGTGAGATTAACAAAAATCTCACCCGTCAGACCTGCTGCTTTAGGAATTTGAGTCATTGTCTCTCTTAACTTGGTGCTATTTTTGGACTGTGCACACTTGTGAAGCACCTTGGGATGTTTGAATGCAATAAAGTGCTTTATAGGTCTAAATTATTTTGTCAGTGGCTTCCTCAAATCCCACTTTCTGTTCTTTTACAGTTAGTAGTATACTAAAATAATTTATTTCTGTGAGAATGTGCTTGATATGTTAGAAAATTGTTAACAGGTTTGGAACCTCTTCAACCTAAGCCTGTGCTGTGACTGCAGCTGTTGACACAATTTTCTGGCACATTTTTTTGGTTTAGTTCAAGACATGATTCTTTTTAATGAATACTCATGTTTGTTACACGTCTAGGAATTGATTTGCTTGCTGGTATAATTCCTGAATTGTGCATGAAGTATCCCGATTTGCATTTTCTCATTGGTGGTGAGGGACCCAAACGAATTGTGTTGGAAGAAGTCAGGGAAAAATACCAGCTTCATGAGAGGTAATGGTAATTTCCCAAACTTACTTGAGTTAAAAATGTAGTAATATTGGTCATCTTCCTGTTCAGTTACTGTTTTAAATGAAATTGGAGTTCGGATATCTCTTTTATGAATACAGGTTTTTCACAGCAACACTCTGATGCAGAGAGAACACAGTGTGGAGCTGGAGGAACACATCTCTGAAAAGATTTCTGAAGAAGGGTCCCGACCCAAAACGTCAACTTTCCTGCTCCTCTGATGCTGCCTGGCCTGCTGTGTTCCTCCAGCTCCACACTGCGTTATCTCTGACTCCAGCATCGGCAGTTCTTACTACCTCTGATGCATGTTTGTATTTTCACAATAATGGAGGAGAAAATAATATTGCAAAGTATTTGCCTGTTAATTAATTTTGTTATTTAACATCTGTATATGCTTAGTTGTTCATAGAATATACTTAACTTTAATTCATTGCTCATTTTGGTACTCTTTGCATGTATCAAAGCATAATTTGTTAAAAAAGACTACATCCATTCTATACATCTGCATTGAATCTGTCTGAATGTACTATGATTTTCTAAGTGCCCTGTTATGACTTGCTAACAATAGATTTCACCCTACTTATGTAAGGTTAGTTTGCTATTTTCTCCTTCCATATCTAGAATAGTTGGGATAACATTTTCTACCTTCCAATTAGCTGAGACCTAGGGAAAAAATGCAAGATTATCCATTTATCTACAATTGCTAGTCACCTCTTCTAAAATCCTTAAAGGCTTTCATGTCCAGGAGATTTATGTTTTTCAATACCATTACTTCCTCCAGTACCATTTTCTTTATTAACACTGATATTCTTGTTTTCCTCATTTTCACTTCTCCATTAATTCCAGAATATTTTTGTCTTTGTGTTTGCTTCTTTGCTCCCTTTTATCTTGAAAATAGATTTCATCCTTTTTCATTGATTAAATATCGTCAAATTTATTTTGTAGTACAAAGCTAGTTTCAGTGGCACTTGCTTATGTTGGGTAATTAAGCATTTAAATTCTTTAGTGATAGCCTGTCTGTATTCCCTGTTATTAAATGAAAAGCCCCTTTCAAAGAAGATGCCTGATGACAAGTCAGCACTGGTTGGTCATTTAAGATGCAGAATTTATATTTGTAAAAACCGAAAGGAATGCGAACGCTGTAAATCAGGAACAAAAATGGAAGTTGCAGGAAAAGCTCAGCAGGTCTGGCAGCATCTGTGAAGACAAAATCAGAGTTAATATTTTGGATCTGGTGACCCGTCCTCAGAACTGAACTGAACATCATTCAGCAGTGAAACACACCCTTTTGTCCAAATTGGCTGTGTCAACCAAGTTTCTGAAACTAAACTAGTCCCACTTGCCTGCATTTGGCCCATATCCTTCTAAACCACTCATTTGTGTACCTATCAAATATCTTTTAAATGTTGTAACTGTACCCGCATGTTCATTAAATCTTAACCTGCTGGAGAGCCTGTATCCCACTCCTTTTTAAAGTTGGTGAACTTTAAAATTGCCCAATATTTATCACAATATCACTAGCAATATTTCTTACCAGTTATAGATAGGAAATATAGGTATTTTTGCCATACCTCTTTTGTATGATGTTGCTTGTATGTTGACCAACTTTTGTCTATTACAGAGTACGTCTTTTGGGCGCTCTTGAGCATAAAGATGTGAGAAATGTTTTGGTGCAGGGTCACATTTTCCTCAACACTTCTCTGACTGAGGCCTTTTGTATGGCAATAGTTGAGGGAGCAAGTTGTGGTCTCCAGGTAAAACAATTACAGAATGTTTTGTTCTATTTATAAATGCTCTCAGTCAGCTATTTGCCTCTGGTATAGCTCCAAACCGGTGACCATTACATTTTTGCAAATTTGAAGATGATTTTCTCGATCATCAAATAGATTAAACTTAATTTTATCTCTTGAGAAACAGAATCTGTAATCAGCAGTGCTAAAGTACCCAAAGCAGCAGAATTAACATTTTAATTTACATGCAATAATTGAAGCTATTAAATCCCTTAAGAATTTATATACAAATGTTTTTGAACAGTAGAAACTTCATAATTGTCTTTGGGTATGGCAGTTGAGCTTAACAGAATAAACTTAACATTAAACTTAAAATGTTTTAAACAAAATTATTTGTTTGTAACTAAGAATATAATTTCTCTTTCCTTTACGTCATTCCTGCAGCCTGTAGAGCAGACATAGATCATGGAGTTACAAAGTACAGGATGCCATTCAGCCCATCAGGTCTGCATGGCTCTTTCCACAAAAATCTAGTTAGTCCCTGCTTGGTAATCTACTGGACAGCTCTTCCAGCCTTAGTACCTGTCACCAGGATCCCGGGCTGGACTTGTCTGTGATTAGAGACTGTGCAGTTGAGTATAATCCGCAAACAAAGGTCCATTCGTTGCCAGAGAGGTCTCTGTGTGGCCCGCTGCATTCTCTAGTGAAGGATTCTGTTCATTATATGTTATACATTACAAGCTGAGTTCTTAATAATCTAGCTTCAAAACTGGTTGTTCAACTCTTTTGTAAAAGGTTGTCAGTACCAAAGTTGGTGGAGTGCCAGAGGTTCTACCTGAGGATCTTATCATTTTATGTGAGCCCACTGTTAAGTCTCTGTGTGAAGGATTGGAAGCAGCCATTACTAAGCACCACCAAGGGGTACTGCCATCAGCTGAAACAATCCACGACAGAGTGAAGAATTTGTACACATGGAGGAATGTGGCTGAACGCACTGAAAAGGTATAGACTAATTTTTTAAATCACTTAGTTTGGAAAGGACTTTGTGCGTGACTTGAAGGTGTACATTGGTTACTGAAAATAGTTTTGTCGTGATGCACTAATTAGTTACAATTGTCATGAATAGTATATTATTCATTTAAAAGTTAACTCTCAAAAATTATGTGAATCTTAATGAAAAAAAAAGACATGCTGCTGAAGGAATTCCTTTGCAATCATCAGGACAAATGCAAGAATGCCAAATTTTAAATTACACTAATTTATGCAACAGGAGAAATGGGTGCTGATTCGTTGACAAGTCAACTCTAATTGGCCGAGTCATTGCTGTAGAGAAAACAATGAGAAACTGTGGGCCCCAAGGCTTCTGCTAATTCAAAAAAAATGCTAATCTTGAAAATTCCTTTTATTTCCATAGAACAGGCCCCTGCTTTTGAGTGTATGTCCCTTCTGGCAAGTGTAAATGACCACAATAAGAGCTAAGCTGGTTATCTTAATTTGTTTTTGTAGCTATTAGTGCACAAGTTTGTTCAGCAATTGATGTCCACCTGCAGAATCACATTTAAGAGAAGAATCATTTTGGGTTTTGTAAGCGAAGACTGGTTGAGTTTAGTCTGTGCTCTACCTATTATGAACAAATGGGGGAAAATGCTGTTTGATTTGTCATGCTATAGAAGACTTTAAGTTTGTACCTGTAGAGTTGCAATTCATTAATTTGAGTTCGAGTAAATATTTCCACATGGTTCAGATCTGAAATGAATTTGATTCCTAGACACCCTAAACTACATGCAACAGAAAAAATGCAAACTTTTCACCAAATATAAGTCTTTAGATATTGTTAAAATTATCTCTCAGCAATTCGAAATGATATTGAGCGCATTGTAGATCACATGACTGGTACTGTACAATGTTTCTGTACCATATTTTTATTTAACTGTTTTGGAGACTAACGGTACCAATGTATTTTGTTTGGATTTTGCTATTTTCTCTGGTTTTCTGTTGTCAATTTAGTCTTGAGCTCAGTAACCTAGTTTCATGCTTCTGCCAGTGCAGTTCCAAATCAACCTTAACAGCTTATCACATTGATTCAAAGTCCCTGATGTAGTGCAAAATTTAGCCTTATTTGACTCGGTGAGAAACAATGAAGAGCACAAAGGTAATATTTCCACTCTTATTTCTTCACGTGAAGAACTAACTATTTTGAGTTGAAATTCTGAACTGCTACAAAGAAGCTTCCATTTAAAGTGGAGAAATGTTTCAGGGTGCCTCAGCGGAGTAGTAATAGCATAATTTAAAGAGTTGGGAAAGGAAACCAAATGTGTGCGAAGTGTGTAAGTATGAAAATATTTAATGAAGGTGAAGTGGAAGGATTTAGGAAGGAATTTCTAGAAATCACAGCCTAGCGATCTGAGTGCTTCACCATCAATGATGGTAATGGAATGAGGGATGGGACTGGATAGGCAGCCAAAACTAGCCAAACAATAGAGATATGTATGTGTATATGTGCTTATGTACTATATATATATCTGTTTTTTAAAAAAAAAAGCACCGTCTTCAGATGTTTTTCTGTAGCTCATTGTGTATAACTGTACATATCTTTCCATTTTTCTGATATTTTAGTTTACAAGTTGCTGTTGTTGTGCAATTTACCCTGTAAGTAATAAATGAAAACAAAATAGGACAAACCATCATAGTGGGATGGCAGCTGATGTTGCAGCTTTTGGCTGAGATTTATTCAAATTTCTGTCTGACCTACTTATGTTGGGCATTATTATTTGAATTTCTGCTTTGCTAGAAGCAGAAATTGTTTCCTTTCGCTGATTACTTACATGCATCCCAATTTGGTGACATAAAATAGCTTCACCCTATCTGAAACACGTTTTGGTAGTATCATCTCAATTCTCATCTGCATTTCATCAAAACATTAATTACCATCTGGTGCATCTGGAAGAAGTGTTGTGTTCTCCCATTTTCTATGTTTTTCAATCTTTTTGTTTCCATTTTATTTCATTGCTGTTCCACTTATTGAGAAACTTCTTTAGACCTCTTCATATTGATCCAAAACACACTGATATTTGGATAGTTGGCATGGATTTACGTAATCAGAAAGCATCAGCTGCCACTTCTGATAGTTATCCCGCTATCTATAAGCAGTCAGTGATCTTTCTAAAAGCTATACGTACCTTACAAGACACTGGGCATCATGAACTACATTTTCTTGCCCAGGGCTATCTTCAAGTATAAAACTAAAGTAACGTTGCAGAATAGAGTCTGATGGGAGCCAGAAAACTAATACCAGAGGGATCCAGTCATTTTTGACAAAAGCATTTCTTGAAATTGTGCTTTTCAGTATTCACATTGCAAACTTCCATCCGTCATTCTAATTTCATTGTCTAGGCCCCTGTCTCATTCGCCCTGTAACCCTGTCATTTATTTGGCTGCTCTGGTGAAATTTCAGTACTGCATTGTGAAATCGGACTTCCCTGTCAGTTTCAATGTGCTCATCTGGGGCTTGGGATGCTACCTACACATAAACACAAGCTCTTCACTGACTTGTCAAATACAACTCTAGGCGAAGCAGTCAGGTTTCCTCTCTTTCTGCCCCAGAAAATCTGTTATCTCTGTTCCTGACTGTTGTCTGTTAGGAGCTTGATGCTTTGACCATTAAAGGAAGCTAAAGATTGTAGTTAAACCAAGTCTTCCAGTCTTTGTCAGTGATGCCCATACAATTGTTTTGAATGTAGATCTTGTTCGGCAAATATTCGTAATTACAAGATACGTGGGAATGCCACCACCTGCAAGTTTCCCTCCAGGCCATTCACTATCCTGATTTGGGAATACATCACCGTTTCTTCACTGTTGTTGGCCGTTTCTTCACTGTTGTTGGGTCACAGTCCTGGAATTCCCCTTCTAATGGCATTATGGGTCAACCTACAGCACAGGGACTGCAGCAGTTCAAGAAGACAGCTCACCACCACCACCATGAGGAAATAGGGATGGGAAATAAAGGCTGGCCCAACCCGAGGGTGCCACGTCCCACGGCTGCTTAAAAAAAGGTGTTGGATCTCCAAAGCCACACAAGTGAATCCATTTAGGTTGGATTTGCACGTCATTCTGTTCTTTCTGATCATTGTGCTTTAAGTTTTGAACACTTCTCTGGCAACATCTTTCTCAAAAGGTGTAAGACTTGAAATCAGTTGTGAAGAGCTTTAGTCCAGTAAAATTTTGTCAGTAACTTGTACTAGAAGCATTGTGAGGGGAAAAAAAAATTACTAGTCTGCTTATACTTTAAGGTTACTTTCAACTAGAAATACTGATAAATGCTATCTTTTATTCCTGTCTCATAAGGAATAGGAGTGGGGGTCAGCCATTAAGCCTGTTACATAATTCAACAATATCATATGTTAACTCTGATTCCTGAATCCCTTGATTCCCTCCGAGGATGCAGCCTATCTATTTACCCTGTCAAGTCCTCAGAGTTTTGTGTCCTCATGAGCTCGCATCCTGTTCTTCTAAACCTCAGAGCGTAGGTCAGTTGCTTCTTATAGGGTGATCCCCTCATCTCTGGAATAAATTTCTGCACCCTTCCTATGGCAAGTAGCAGTTTACTGTCTTTGGTAAGGGGATCACAAGTATACACAGTACTTCAGATGTGCCTTTCCAATTGTTTACTGATCCTTGCATCTTCCTTTTTAATATCCTGGTAATGGTCCTGAATTCAGTACCAGTGCGTAACTGAGTGGCTCTAACCTTGCTTCATCTGATTTTGTTTTAGGTTTATGACCGTGTGGCCAAAGAGGGGATACTGTCGATGAACAAACGACTGTACAGATTGATGACCCACTGTGGTCCTGTGGCTGGTTGCATTTTTGCTTTAGTTGCTGTTTTGGACTTTCTTTTCTTGTTGCTTTTGAGATGTATAGTTCCAGATGCTATGATTGACATTGCTGTAGATGCCACAGGTGTAAATGGAGCTTGGAAGCAACAAGTGGGACAGTCAACTGTTGAGAAGATTAGGAAAACTCTGCCTTTCTCTGAAAGGAATGACTGCAATGTACAAACCTGATGCCTTGATTTATAGCAGCTTTTGGACTCATGATTTGAATCCTTGAGGATTATCAAATTTTATCAAGTTTTTCTGTTTTGTATGACTGAGTGACTTCATCTCATTATTTTGTTACCTTCTTAAGTAGCCATTATGAACTTCAACTGCATAAAATCAGAATATGATTAATTGGATAAAATCTTAACAGATATGAGTTAAACTTCTGTGTGTTTATTATGTCGGTATGATAATTTCTACTTCCCCAACAGCTTAGAAAACTTCGATCAGTTGAGTTGCTTTCTGAAAAAAAAGGTGAAAACATTACTGATTTATCTTAGTCTTGCAGAGCTGCTTTCTTGTCTAGAATCTACTTTGAATTCAAAGTCATTTATCTGATGTGCTAAAAATCTGAAACCAGATTTCAATACCCAGTTAAATTGCATTTATCTCTAACTTATCAGATAATTAATTTCTTTAGTGTTTTAAAAAAAAAGTGACTGCTTCAACAAGAGTAGGTTGAATTCCTATTCTTCTCTTTGGGTTTGTTTTTTTATGATCAACCTGATCTTTGACAAACCTTGTTGGTATGTTTTAAGTCTTATATTAATGATGAGCAATCTACAGCTGTGAAATTGTCTGCCTGCTATGGAGTACACAATCTCTTTCCAAAGGGCAACATCCAGCTTACCTAAATTCAAAATGTTTATGCTCCTGTTATTGACAGTACAGTTTAGGTATCTCCAAATTTATACAGGAGTACAGAAGCATTGCAAAAGCAACTGCCCACTGGTGCATAAACTGATTAGCTCCCTGCTGTTAGATCACTTCACCTGTCCTCACTTTAGTCAATTTCTTCATATGCTGTTCGATGTGATGAGGTGAGAATAAGAGCCCATGACACCAAGGCAGGATTTGAATGAGTGTGGTATCAAGGACCCCTAGCAAAACTGGAATCCGAGTGCTGGGGGCAAACTCTCTGATGGTTGGAGTTATAGCAGGCACCTAGGAATATGGTTGTGGTTGTTGGAGATCTGTCATCTCAGCTCCAGGATATCTCTGCAGGAGTCTAGGCCTAACCAGCTTCAGCTGCTTCATCAATGACCTTCCTCCATCAGAAGGTCAGAAGTGGGGATGTTTGCGATAATTGCTCAATGTTGAGCACTATTTAATGACTCCTCAGATACCGAAGCAGTGAGTGTTCAAAATTCAACAATATCCAGGCTTGGGTTGACAAATAGTAAGTAACGTTCATGCCACACAAATGCCAGGCAATGACCATCTTCGATAGGAGACAGTCTAATCCCTGCCCCCTTGACATTCAACGGTGTTACCATCACCGAAACCCCCAAGATGTTGATATTGGGGTTATCATTGATGAGAAACTCAACTAGACTTGTTTCTCAAAAAAGTGGCTGCCTGAGCAGTTCAGAGGCTAGGAAATACTGCAGCAAGTAACTCAACACGACTCCAAAGTCTCTCCGTCATCCACAAGAACAACTTAGTAGTGTGGGGGAAAGCTCCAATAACATGCAAACTTGACACCACCTAAGACCAAGCATTCTACTTGATTGGCACCACGTTAACTCCCTCCACCACCGATACTCAACAGCAGCAGTGTGTACTGTCTACAAGATGCACTCCAGAAATTCACCAAAGATCTGTAGACAGCACTTTCCAAACAGATGACCACCTCCGTCTAGAAAGACAAGGGCAGCAGGTACACGGGAACACGACCACCTGCAAGTTCCCCTTCAAGCTGCTGAGCACGCTGACTTGGACATATATCACCGTTCCTTCACTGTCACTGGGTCAAAATCCTGGAATTCCCTCGCTAAGGGCATTGTGGGTCACTTGCAACATGTGGACTGCAGCTCACCACCACCTTAAGGGCAACTAGGGACAAGCAATAAATGCTGGCCCAGCCAGAGATGCCCACATCCCATGAGTGATTTTTTTTTTCTTTTAAAACAGGCTTCCTGACAAAGTTTTGATTTTAAAATTCTCATCTTGTGTTTTCATATTTGTCCATGATCTTGTACTGTCTATTATTGCACACTTCTTGAATCTCACACAACTCCCTTTGCTGTTTTCTAATTCTGGTCTCATGAGCATCCCCAATGTTAATTACTCTACATTGTTGGGTGTACCCTGAGTTGTCTAGGTCCAAGCTCTGGAATATCCTACTTACAAATTTTCCACTGTATACTTGCCTACTTTACAATACTCCTATGAAAATCTACCTATTTGACTAAATCTTTGGTCATCTAATCTAATATTTTCATACTTAACTTTGTAGTAATCCTGTGAAGTACCTTGGAATGTTTCATTGCTTTTAAAGGCACTGTATAAATTTAAATGCATAAATATCAGCCAGTCAACCTTCTAATATTGCAGATCTATCTAGTTAGGTATCAGATAAACAAGTTTGCTACAGAATATTGATTTTCTTTTTCTCTCTGAAATCCCATTCTCAGGATCTTGGAGCTACAGTAACCCCAAGGGAGCCCACTCCCCACAGGGCAGCAGTTAAAAAATAATGTAGTTTGGACACAAGTTTGAGTCTGCAAATACCAAGAGCTATTTATCAGAGGCATAACTGCTCATAGGATGAATGAGTACCTTGCCATCACCCTCCTAATGACACTGTGGGCCCATGCCATACTCGGCGGGGGGGAAAAGTAGTTTTCCCAAATGCAGCTGCAGAATCTTTGAAGGCTAATCACGGGAAACACACATCCTTCATTATGTAGCAGTTTTTTTTTTAATCAAACAAGATAATAGACCTAATTATAAATGGTGCTGGGTAATTAAACATAATTAGAGGAGGAGGTGGCTACATGAAAGGCAATTCTTACTGATAGGAATGTAAGCCCCCATGAAGTCAGTGGGCAGTTGAGGGGCAGATATTTGCTGAGGCACAGAAATAATAAGGTATATCAAGCGATTTGAACTACCTCCATATTAATTGGGATAATGATAGCATGAAAGATTTAAAGGGGTAGATTTCTTGAAACCTATTTGGGAAAGCCTTTTGTATAAGCGTGTAGATGGTCCTAGAAGGGATGGAGGAATGGTGGACCTAATTCTGGGTGATGATACTGGACAGATGTTCAAGGTGGCAGTGGGGAGCATTTTAGTGACCACCACATGGTACGTTTTAAATTTGTTGTGGAAAGAAATGAAAGGATAGTCTGCAAAAATGGGCTTTGAATTGGGGGACAAGGCAGATTTTATTAAAGTAAGGCAAGATCTGGCCAAAATAGACTGTGAAGTTGAGAGTATATCTACAACAGAGCAGTGTGAGTCAAGCAAAAAAAGTAATGGAAAAGAGTATAATGTAAGAAATGGATACAGAAGGAGGCCATTCAGACATTGAAGCCTGCTCCACCACTCAATAGGATCCTTGGCTGATCCACTTTCCTCATGTCCGCTTTCCTTGATAACCCTTGATTTCCCCTACTGATCAAGAATCTATCTCAGCCTTAGATATACGCAAGGACTCTGCCCCTGCAGCTCTCTGTGGGAAGGAGTTCCAGAGACGCACATTCTTCTGAAAGAAGAACTACTTCATCATCTTAGCCTCAGAATAATGAAGTGCCAATTTAAGACCATGCCCTCTGGTGGTCAATTGCCCCATGAGGGGAAACATTCTCTCAGAATTTACCCTATCAAGCCCTTTAAGAATCCTATATGTTTCAATGTGACCACCTCTCATTCTTCTAAATTCCAATGAGTAGAGTTCCAACCTGTTTATCTTTGCTCATAAGGCTATCCCTCCAATCTGGTGCTCGTCCTAGTGAACTTTACTGTCTTGTGTTAAATAAGGGGACCAAAACTATACACTGTACACCACGTGTGGTATTACCAGCACCTGGTACAATTGCAGTAAGATCTCCCTAATCTGATACTCCAACTCCCTTGAAATAAGGGATAACATTACATTAGCCTTCCAGATTACCTGCTGAGTCTATGTGCCATCTTTTGTGTTTTCTGCAAAAGTACCGAATTCCTTTTGTGTTGCAGCTTTCTGCAGTTTTTCTCCTGTTACATAAAACTTGTTGTTTTGTTTTCTCTTCCAAAATGAACACCTTCACATTTTCCTGCATTTGCTAACTTTTTGGCCACTTAACCTATATCAACATCTTTCTGTAGACTTTGTGTCCCTCTCGCAACTTGCCTTTCTACCTATTCTTGTGTTGTCTGCAAATTTGGATGCAGTACATTTATTTTCTTTCTTCCTTCCTTCAAGTCATTAATATATTTGGATTCATTAACACATATTGCCCTATAGGAGTAAACAAAGTGCTGGGGTTGTTGGGAAACTTAAAACAGTTAGGAGAGCAAAAATCACTGCAGGCAACATTAGGAAGAATCCCGAGCTATTCTACAAGTATATCAAGGGGAAGAGAATAACCAGGGAAAGAGTGGGACCTATTAGGGACAAAGAGGAAATCTGTGCTTGGAGCACAAGGATGTTGGTCGAGTATTAAATGAGTACTTCATATCTGTCTTTGCTTAGGAGGCAGAGGATGTAGACTCAGAATTTGCATGAAGTTCTTGAGCAGTTTGATGTATTAAGTGAAGTGGTATTGGAGGTTTCGACAGGTTTAAAAGTGGACAGAACCTCAGATTGGAAGTGTTGTATCCCAGGCTGCTGTAGGAGATGAGGGAGGATATCACAGGGGCCCTGATCTAAATTGTTAATTTCCCTCGGGCCACAGTGGAGGTACCAGAGTACTGGAGGACAGCTCATGTGGTTCCAATTTTCAAGAAGGGTGGTAGAGAGAGAGAGAGACCAGGGACATGCATATCAGTGAGTCTCAAATCAGCCTAACCATTCTGGTTGAAGTTTTCAAGGAGGTGACCAAAAGTGTAGGTGAGGTTTGTTGACGTAGTTTGTATGGATTTCACCCAGACCTGGGAGATGAGGGAGACGAGGGAGACAGATAAAGAAGGTAAAAAGCCCATGGGAGCCAGGGTAACTGGCAAACATGATATTTAGTAAAAAAAAAAAAAAAGGGGCATGGGCAAGATGAATAGAAAACAGCTATTCCCCTTAGTTGAAGGATCAATAACAATTAGAGGGTCTCGAAGAAAAGTATTTTCACCCAGAAAGTGGTAGGAGTTTGGAATCCATTGCTTAGTAGGGTAGTTGAGACGGGTAACCCCAAACTTTAAAAAGCACTGGGATCGACATTTGAAGTATAACATTCAAAGCTA